AAAGAGAAATTGATCTATCAGACTATGTCAGCATTCAAAAAATTTTCAGAAGACACCGTCAGAATGAAAAGTCGCAGGCTGGGAAAAATGTTTGCAACTAATACATCTGGAAAAGTACTTCTCCTCAGAAATGCTCAAAACTAATTTAACAGAAAATGCAGGCACATAAAAACATTGGGTGAAAAGATTTGAATAGACATTTCACCAAAGAAGATAAATGGGTGACAAGTAAGTCAATGTAAATGTCCAACATCATTGCTCATTAGGGAGATTCGTTTAAGCCACAGTTCACTAAACCACAATGAAATACTACTGCAAAGCTGTGGGCGTGGCTGAGATGTGGAATCTGGCCACGCCTAGAGCTGACCACGCGTTGGGGGAGCCGGAATGCTCACGCGTGGATTGGAGACCCACAACATCACAGCTCTTGGGAGAACACGGTGGTTTCTTTAGCACCTGCCTGCGATCCTCCATCCCACTTCTGCCCGGGACAAATGAAAGCACGTGTCTATCCGTCCAGAGATTTGTACATGAATCTTCAGAGCGGCTTTCACGGGAAATGCCCACAACTGAAAGACCCAAATGCCTGTCAGTGAGTGAATGGATGAATACATTTTGCCAGATCCGTAACATGGAATCCAACGCAGCAATAAAGAAATGAGTGAACTGTTGATGCACATGGCAGTACGGATGGGTCTTGAAATGATTATGTTGACGGAGAGAGAGAGAAAAAAAGAGTGCCTACTGTTATAATCCGCCTGTGTAAAGTTGTAGAAATGTGAGCTAACTCGTAATGCAGAAAGCGGACCAGGGCTGCCCGGGGAGGGAAGCGTTGCCACGGCACCAGGAAACTTGTAGGACGAGGAGGTGTTTGCTGATCCTGGGGATGGTTTTGCAGGCGGACGCTTACGTCAGAACCAATGTGTGCTGTTTATCCTGTCCACTGTTCCTCAGTTCTGCTGGCGAGAAAAAAAAGACAAGTAACCCAACACAAAGATACTTTATTACAAAAAAAAGATAACACAATGAGAGCTTCAAAGGCCCCCAACATCTTTAGTCCTTACGGAAATGCAACGTGAAACCATAAAGAAATACCACTTCGTTTCCACTCGATGGGCCTAAGTAAAATGAATCTATGGTATGAATGGCTTGGCGAGGATGTAGAGTAACAGAAATCCTCAGATTGGTGGGGTACAAGTTGCTATAACCACCGTTGGCGATTTCTTTAACACACATCTGTCCCAGCGGTACCGCTGCTGCGAATCGACCGTGTGTGCCCCAGGGAGGCTGGCGCACGGTTGTACGTGGGGGTCTGTCCGCCGCAGCCCAGCTAGAGACAACCCGACCTGGTCCCCGACTGTCCTCTCCAGGCTGCGTCTCTGAGCCGGGGCCGCCTTAGAGATGTGTCAGGACCCAGGTTCCCTCCCCGCCCCCGTCAGCTGTGCCACGGGGAACGGCGGCACATGCAAAGCACAGAGCCGTGCAGACCACGTGCCACGTTCCACCGCGTGCCGCGTTCAGGATGTCCATTTGACTAAGGAAAGGAAAAAAGTCCTGCCCAAGCTGCTGTGTTCACTGACCCTGGCGGGAAGCTGAGCTCTGGTGGCAGAGCTGCCCCCGGGGCGGGGGCTCTGCTCTCAGCACACGCGGTGGCACCTGACGCGTAATGAGGGGTTGACACGTGCTGGCCGCCGTGACGGTGAGAGCCACCCGCGCTCCCTGCCAGCCAAGTGCCCACCTTGCCTCTCCTGAGCACTCGCAGTGACGGCCAATCCCGCCGCGCCAGCAGCCACACCGCACTGACAGCCTGAGTTCTGCCCAGCACGAGCCGGCCCCTCACTGTTCACGTCCGTGTGCTCCCCTACCCACGGCAGGTTCCGTGTCTGAGGTATGACAGGCACACAGGTGCTGGTGATGCCAGTGTGATTTCATCCCCGTTTGCAGTGGGATCCCAGGCACGCTTCTACCCCAGACCCTCTTCCTGTGCCCTCCCCGCTCTGCTTTCCTGTCCCGGGTTCATCCTGCGCGGAGGGCCGACTCTTGGGCAGACACCGCCTGCCGTGGCAGAGGCACGTGGCCCCGCCCCGCCACCGCAGCTGACTTGCCGTGAGAAGCCCATACACGAAGCAGGAGAAGCTGTGCTTTTTCATGCTGCTCCCCGGCGTTGAGCTCCGCGTGGGCAGCAGACATGCTCTTTATTCTCCTTGTTTTCTATTTAACTTCTCGCGTCACCGTGTGCACGGCACCTCTTCGGTATTTTCTGGTGGCTGGGACTTCTCCCAGATGGAGTCTTAATTTTATTTCAGAATATTAAGGGGAGCGCAAACGTTTCAATCACACAGAGCATTCCAGCAATCCTTGAGTCAGGGCAGCGAGTGAGCCCAGCAGCTGACGGTGCTCCCTGCACCCCCTGGGTGGGTGTTCGCTTCTTCCACCCCCAGTTTTCAGTGACTTTCCCTTCCCTGTGCGCTCCCTGGGTGGGTGTTCGCTCCTTCCGCCCCCCAGTTTCCAGTGACTTTCCCTTCCCTGTGCACTCCCGGGTGGGTGTTCGCTCCTTCCACCCCCAGTTTCCAGTGACTTTGCCTTCCCTGTGCACCCCCTGGGTGGGTGTTTGCACCTTCCATCCCCAGTTTCCAGTGACTTTGCCTTCCCTGTGCACCCCCTGGGTGGGTGTTTGCACCTTCCATCCCCAGTTTCCAGTGACTTTGCCTTCCCTGTGCACTCCCGGGTGGGCCCCCTGTTTGTGGGAGGACGTGTGGTGTGTGCTCCATTCTAAGACACGTCACTGAGGACAGAGGTCCACAGTTCCAGCCGTGCTGCATTCTGCTCGGCCCGGTGGGTGGATGTGCAGCAAAGCGGCAGCCCTGCTGCCTGGGGGCCTACCGCGCTGCCTGACCCGCGGGGGACCTCAGGGCGGGAGCTTCCTGGAGGCCTGTAGTCCTGTCCCGTCCCTTCACAGATGGGAAAACCAAGGCTGAGAAAGATGAGTAAAATGTTCACTTTCAAACACTCAGTTCACAGTAGAGCTGAAATCAGAATCCTGAGATTCCTTTTTCTTTAAAAAAATTTTTTTTTTTTATTTCAGCATCTTACGGGGATACAAATGTTTAGGTTACATGTATTGACTTTGCCCCACCCGAATCAGAGCTTCAAGTGTGTCAGACGGTGCACAGCACACCCATTAGGTGTGAACATACCCATTCCCTTCCCACTTCCCATCTGCCCAACACCCGATGAATGTTACTACTCTGTGTGCACTTAGGTGCTGATTAGGTAAAACCAATTTGATGGTGAGTACATGTGGTGCTTGTTTTTCCATTCTTGGGATATTTCACTTAGTAGAATGGGCTCCAGCTCTATCCAGGATAATACAAGAGGTGCTATATCACCATTGTTTTTTGTGGCTGGGTAGAGCTCCATGGTGTGTGTGTGTGTGTGTGTATATATATATATATATATATCACATTTTATTAATCCACTAATGAATTTATGGGCACTTGGGTTGTTTCCACATCTTTGCAATTGTGAATTGTGCTACTATAAACATTCTAGTGCAGATGTCTTTTTTTATAGAATGTCTTTTGTTCTTTTGGGTAGATTCCCAGTAAGGGGATTGCTGGATCAAATGGTAGTTGTACTTGTATCTCTCTGAGGTATCTCCACAGTGCTTTTCACAGAGGTTGTACCACTTTGCAGTCCCACCAGCAGTGTATGAGTGTTCCTAAAGCCATCCTCATATAACCATCTCATCTTTGACAAAGCAGACAAAAACATACACTGGGGAAAAGAATCCTTATTCAATAAATTGGTGCTGGGAAAACTGGGTAGCCATATGTAGAAGACTGAAACAGGATCCACACCTTTCACCTCTCACAAAAATCAACTCATGGTGGATAACAGACTTAAACCTAAGGCATGAAACTATAAGAATTCTAGGAGAAAATGTTGGAAAAACTCTTATAGACATTGGCCTAGGCAAAGAATTTATGAAAAAGACCCCAAAGGCAATCACAGCAACAACAAAAATAAATAAACGGGACCTGATCAAATCAAAAAGCTTTGTCACAGCCAAGGAAACTATCACGAAAGCAAACAGACAACCTACAGAATGGGAGAAAATATTTGCATGCTACATACCTGATAAAGGGCTGATAACTAGAATCTATATACAACTCAGGAAAATCAGCAAGAAAAAAAAATCAAACAACTCCATCAAAAAGTGGGCAAAGGACATGAACAGAAACTTCTGTCTTCAAAAGATAAGACTGATGGCCAACAAACATATGAAAAAATGCTCAACATCTCTGACCATCAGGGAAATACAATCAAAACCACAGTGAGACATCATGTATCTCCAGCGAGAATGGCTTTTATCAAAAAGTCCCAAAACAATAAACTGTGGCGTGGATGCAGAGAGAATCCTAGAATTCTTGTCCAGCTTTTTGTTGGTTTTTGTTGAGCCAGAAACCAAGGTCAGCAAGTTCCCTTCCCCAAACTCAGCGCAAGCTCCGTCGATTCCTGGGCGCGGACTGAGCTGGAGCCTGCACTGTCTGCGCCGTGGCGCGGCCCGGAGCCGCCAGCTAGGCTCTGCTGTTCACCCACCGGGGGTCTGGTTTCCTCGTCTGCACAGCGTGATGATCCAGTCTGTGCCGTAGAGCTGTCGGGAGGGCTGGAAAGAGTCAAAACATGTAAAGCCAAACGCCGCCTGGCCTAGCGCTCGGCAAGCAGGTGACACTCTGTGACCCGCGTCCTCCCGTCTTTCCGGTGGTCATGAGCCGGCCGGCCCGTGACGCCAGGCACACAGGGAGGTGAGCTGAGCCCCCCACTGCAGTCGTGCCCAGGAGTGTAGATGGTTCTCCGTCCAGGTGTGGATTGTTAGCGTCTTCTAGCCACCCTGATGTTGATTTTTATATCCATAAATCCCGTGACGTTCTGCGTACTGTGCTCACATCCATACCCGTACGCACGTACAGGCTTTTCCTGGGCCTTTTACTTGCCAGGTCCGAGGCCTCGGGCAGCTGCTGGGAAGGCCAGAGAGAGCGAGTGGGCGGAAGGGACCCAGGGCTGTGAGGCAGGGTGGGGTCGATGTCGGCTTCTCGGAGTCATTTGTCTCTTCAGAACAATTCCCAGTGAGCAGAACGTGTTATCAGCTGCAAATTTCCATACGCTCCCACCCACGCCTCATTACTGTCAACTTCCTGCGACATTTGTTGATCCTGTGGTTTAGAATTTAACCTCACAGATTCCTTTTTTTTTTTTTTGAGACAGAGTCTCACTTTGTTGCCCAGGCTAGAGTGAGTGTCGTGGTGTCAGCCCAGCTCACAGCAACCTCAAACTCCTGGGCTCAAGCAATCCTTCTGCCTCAGCCTCCCGAGTAGCTGGGACTATGGGCATGCACCACCATGCCCGACTAATTTTTTCTATATATATTAGTTGGCCAATTAATTTGTTTCTATTTTTGTAGTAGAGATGGGGTCTTGCTCTTGCTCAGGTTGGTTTCGAACTCCTGAGCTCAAACGATCCGCCCACCTCGGCCTCCCAGAGAGCTAGGATTACAGGCGTGAGCCACCGTGGCCGGCCCCTCATAGATTCCTTGACCTCTGCAAAAACTGTGTGGGGACTGATTTCCTGGCTGAAGGCTCCACCTCGGCTGCAGAGGCAGCCCCGTCTACACCAGCGTGAGGCTCCTCTGCTGGTCCTGGCGGCAGTGCGGCAGCAAGACCGAGACCCCCAAGCTCTTCCCCTGCTCAGGGTCGGCCCCCTAGAGACAGGGTACTGTTCAACGTGAAACCGTCCACTGTGTTAAGACAGAGAGCACCAGGGAAGCAGAGAGAGAGACAAGGGAAACAGACACAGTGACAGAGACACCGAAGGCAGGAAGACACAGACAAAATGAACAGGTCTCCAGACTCACCCTCCACGGCCTGAGCACAGAAAGGCGCGGGGAGCAGCCTTACTCTATGCCAGGGGTCCTCAAATTTTTTAAACGGGGCCAGTTAACTGTCCCTTAAACTGTTGGAGAGTGCACACTGTGGGCCCAGGACGGAGTCGGCTGCTAAGCAGGACAGGCAGCGGTGGCAAAAACTCCTGGAAGGCCGGATAAGTGTGCTAGGCGGCCCATATGTGGCCTGCGGGCCCTAGTTTGAGGATGCCTGCTCTACACTAATGAGCTGGAGGTGGAGAGTTCCTGAGACCCCCCGCCCAGCCCCCAAATCCTGTCGTGTCTCGTGGCACCGTGGTACCGTCTCATTAGGAGGCCTGTGGACAGCCGCCACTGTGTGTGTTGTCGGGCCGGCAGCAAGCACGCCTTGATCAGTGCGCCTGTCAGCGCTGCCCTCGGGCGCTGGGACAGACGGGAGCAAACGTGTGGCGTGTGGCCAGAGATGCCCCTGTTTGGGTGTCCTGATTTGTTTGCATCCTTGGCACAAGAGACTGTCTGACGAGCACAAGTGGCTGGTGCATGGATGAGAGTGTCATCCACTCGGTGTCTCCTGGCATGTGGACTGCCGGGACCTCAAGGCCATTCTGTCAGTCCGCGCTCGTAATTGTGCAGCCTGGGACAGGGCTGGGCAGGCTCCCGGGAGAGCTGTGCCTGTCAGTTGCAGGCCCTGACTTTGCGCCGTGTCCCCGGGACCTGGTATAGCCATGGCCAACGCTGTTTGGCAGGTTGGAGACTGGAGGCCGGGTGTGTCAGCTGGCTCCAGGAAGCTGCTGAATATAATCACTTTCCTCCAAAACCAGTATTTCTTTTCTGAAGCTCTCTGACAGTGTCCTCTCAATGATGGCTATTAATGTCTGTGATGTAGCTTCCACTTTGGTTTGCAAGCTGAGAACAGACAGGGCCACGTCTGGGCTACTCCTCCCCATAGCACATAGTCCAGAGCTCGGCACACAACAGCAGTAGCAGCGTGGCCTGCCGATGGCTCTGCGGATGCTGCTGTTGATGGTGGGGGTGATGGTGGTGGTGGTGATGCTGTTGTTGGGGGGATGATGGTGATGATGGTGGTGGTGATGCTGTTGTTGTTGTTGGGGGGATGATGGTGGTTGTGATGCTGTTGATGGTGGGGATGATGGTGGTGGTGGTGGTGGTGATGTTGTTAGGGGGATGATGGTGGTGATGCTGTTGATGGTGGGGATGATGGTGGTGGTGATGTTGTTAGGGGGATGATGGTGGTGATGCTGTTGATGGTGGGCATATTGGTGGTGGTGGTGGTGGTGATGCTGTTGATGGTGGGGACGATGGTGGTGGTGGTGGTGGTGGTGATGTTGTTAGGGGGATGATGGTGGTGATGCTGTTGATGGTGGGGATGATGGTGGTGGTGGTGATGCTGTTGTTGGGGGGATAATGGTGGTTGTGATGCTATTGATGGTGGGGATGATGATGGTGGTGGTGTTGATGGTGGTGGTGATGCTGTTGATGGTGGGGATGATGATGGTGATGGTGATGCTGTTGATGGT